GTCCGAATACTATACATCCGGCGGTCCTATCTACATGTAGTGTTTTTGTTTTTTTTAATTACTCCATGCAGCCATACGTCATATGGCTTCCTCAACGGGAATTAGTTTATGTGAGGTATTTTTCCGAAATCGGAGTAAGATTTTCATAAAAACGATGGTTAACCTTGTAAATCTGTCGTCCTCCGTGCACCTGAACCTCCAACAAGTCCAATCTCGCATGCTCGTCATCGTCGAATACCAGGGTAGTCATCCGTCCACCTCGCATAACTTTAACTATTCGAGTACCATGGAAAGAGGTCATCCGTGAGGCTAATCTCCATACTATGACTCGAAGAGGCCGACTAAGTCCAAATATGTGTCGGGTCTCTATGTCCCGGATCCGGATGATGCGGAAAAGTTTATCGAGCGAGGTAATCTTAATAATCACAATGACTTGAGAAAGACATTGGAGGTTGCTCGCGCAGTGGAAATACAAAGTATAACCATGAAACTCCTCATAAGTTTGAACCGTATTGACCCGAAAATTTATGCGAGTGGTGGGAAAAAATCCCTCGCCGTTTCGGAGTAACTCGATGAATTCAATCCACTGGGTAGGAGTGTCATCTTGAACCCGCAAAAGTTGTTTCACTCCTCTTATCAAATCATCCTCGTGTCTGTCGCGAATAAGAAGGTATCTTACCAAGGTAAGATATCTTCGTCCGTCGTCCATCCGCTCACAAAAGAACCACAATTAAGAGTTGATCAGTGAAAACAATCGGTGTTTCTCACGTTTAAACTCTGCCACAAATAAAATAATCCGTATGAAGCGCCAAAATCTGTCATCCGGAGTCCGACGATAATGATGAATATAATCAAAGGGTCCACGCAGCTCGTTGAGATGTAGCAAAATAATTAAGAAGAACTATTTTATCTCAGAAATATTATCAACGTATCGCCCCGATCTTTCGTTGTGTCGAATCATCAGATACGTGTCGTCGAAGTCTCCTCGTGGGGCGAACCCATATCGAATAATGTTTCATCCATAGACAGTGCTAATTAGATAACATCTTGAAGGTTGTCTCAAGTTCCCTCGTCAGAATCATGGTTCATCTTTTTCGGAAAACACGACTGACGGATCGTATACTAGTCGTCTTGACTGTATTAAACCGATCTTTTTGTCTTTGGGGCTTGATATCCATTCACTTGTCTCCTCGCGTATGTGAAAAAAAAATATTATTACCGTCTCGCACGTCATCAATAAAATTCGAATAAACTTTCGTTAGAAAGGATTGCAACTCGACCAAAGTGTTTGGAGTTATTTTTATTCCTCTATACGATCGATTTATCCAAGGAGTCGTTGCATGTAGCCTAGTCAGTTTCAATAGGTAGCTATATCAAACCTTTTTATTCCTGAGTTTTCAAAACGGTTTGCCCGAATTCGCTCCATGAACTCAATCTCGTCAAACGGACTTATACGGGCATTGTGATACAAAACGAGTCGCAAATACATTCATTTTGTCTCATGATTGAAATGGACATGCAACTCATTATCCTCGTATCCAAATATTATGCGCAGGTTGTACCAGCCTTACCATCGAATTCTGACGACGCTTGGTTCAAAAATCTGTTGATAGGTTGAGGTGATAAATAAGAAAGTTCGAGGTGGATTTCTTGTCATACCGCGATCCATCAACAATTCCCATCTTGGAAAAAATATGACGATCGGGTCGTAGACTATTCGACCGACTTGTTATAAAATCACCCCTCGCCTCCCTGCCTAAACTATGTATCTTGCGGCAGCCTCACTGCTTGGAAAAAAATATGATGATGGCGGTTACCGTAGGCATCTGAAAAAACAAAAGTACGAGTAATTTTATGAGAACATAACTCGTTTACTCTTATGCTTTATTTTTTAGCCGTGATTCTTATGCCACGGTCCAACCACGAAAGAGTAGTGTTTATTCGCACTTCTTCAGATACTAGCAGATACATGAACTAGTTTTTTTTTTACACCAGTTCCCTATGTGTTAGTGACAGCTAAGGTGGCCACTTAAAAGGGTATTAATTTTCAGTTTTTTCCCTGTATAAAGGTACAAGGAAAAACCAATTCCGATCCTTTAATCGTCGAGCGTCTCACCTTTTAGGAAGTAGTCCGGAGTACTCCTCCTCCTCGCTCGAGCTGGAAGCACAGATCTCAGAAGTCGGGTCGTCTCCACCGAATCGACGAAGTACTTCCCCGTAAAACGATCCACTCCGGGTCGGTAACAGAGCCGACTCCTAAAGCAACAAACCCCCGCCCCAAATTTCCTCATAAATTGAGAGAGTCATTAAACTTAAAACTAGGTTTACTGCCCTGGATCTCAATAGGAGGGAAATAACTTAGACGAATCAAACATGTAGAATAGAAAAATATATAGTCGATACTCGTTTGAACGAGGAGTAGGTCGAAAGGGTAATTCGGGATAGAAAGGAAACCTCAGGGATAACTAAATTCATTCGCATTCTCATTTCTTTATATTCCGCATTCCTTTTTTTGACTTTGGTTATTTTTCCCATCCATGGTTTGACTGTTACTTTATCAGACAGGTGAATACATCACAGAGAAAAGATAAAAGAAAACATTCAACGTTTTCACTATTTTATTCAGTAAAACTTGAATTGTTTTTCTCAATACTTTTTCCGTTTTACAAACCTGCATGCAGAGCAAGTGAACATTCAACAAGTCCAACCACGAAAGCATCGCATAAGTCGGACCCAGAGTTCCACACAAGCATGCCCCGTCACACTTTTTTTCCTCTCAACCTTTCCCTGAGCACCCAAAAGAAAAAGAGAAGGGTCATACAGCGTGAGGGTGCACAAAGGTGTGAAGGATCCATGCTAACCACTGACCTTGAGTAACGAAAGTTATGACTGCGACTTCCTCCAAGTAACTGGTGCGCCTTGTCGAGGAAACCGTTGCTTCAGGTATAACTGTGCAAATTACTAGGCCCGTTCGACACTCGACTCACTAGTACCTATTGCGTCAGTCTCAAACGCGAAGGCGGTGAGCCCTAAAAGTTCCACTTAGCTCCAGGTGGTCCACGTTTGTGCCAAATAAATCTAAGTAGTTCGCGTTTGTACCCACTGGTACCGAGTGGTTCGCGGCGATGTCCACTGGTGTCGAGCGGTCCTAGGCAGTCCCACGTCCTCCTTTTTCACTTCCAGATGATGCCATTTGTCAAAGCAGCCTCTCCTAGCTCTCACAAAAAATTGGGTAGATAATGATCACAGAGGATAAGATTGAAGAGTGGGAAGCCATTCCAGGATATGAGATCTAGGAGATGCTGTGATCATTATCTACCCAATTTTCTTGTAAGGGTATTCGCACCGACAATGTACCTCATTTGCGAGGCCCTATGCCTGCAGGGGTCCCCTTTATATACCTATACAGTCATTATGCCTGTATTTGGGGAAACTTTCAGTGTAGATACAACAATAATGGAGGAAAACGGTAGTCTTAGGAGTAATGGTAGGAAGGTAGTGAAAGGCTAAAGAGAAAATTATTTTTATTTTTATTTTATTTATTTATTTATTTTTTCTTCTTTTTTTTGCTAAAAGAATTTGAGAGAAGAACAGTGTAGTTAAAAATGAAAAGAAAGTCCTCCGGGACATCCGTTAAAATTGGAACGATATAGAGAAGATTAGCAAAATGAAAAGAAAAACAAAAGAGGAAAAAAAACTTGCCACCAAACCTAACCCCAAATATTAGAAGCCAATAGATCGGAGAGGGATGAATGACTGTCATATGTCACCCGCTGCCACTCGTGCTCGAAAACCCAACGTGGACATATCTCAACAACTCTTGTGGGACCAGGCCTTAGGACAACGTCAAACTATCCGGACCGCATCCCCATGGGTTACCCGCAAAACGAAAGGCCAACCTTGTGGGCACGACCCGTAGGCTGCAAACATAAGGGATTTTCCCATCCCAGCTGCGGTCATGTGCATCTCGGCCAACCGCAACAGCGGTCAGAGACATCCAGTAAAGTCCTCACGCAACTATGGCCTTAGCCTGCGGCAACCGACGAGCCCAGCTCAGTTGGTACACCCCCGAACTGTTAAAACGCCAACGCAAGTTCGAAACCAGTGCAACGAGATGAACAGAGAAAAATAATTCTGAATTACCTGGGCCAGTCAGTTCAAAGCTGATATAAAAAACAAAACAAACAAACAAAAAAAAAACAAACCTGGGCAGATACATGGAGGAAAACCTCCGGCGGGGCTGTAGAGCGCCCTCATCAGGCCTCATCAGGGTTATCAGGGTTAGGGTTACCCTATTGTCAGGGCACTGGGATGAGGCTCTGTGCCGATCGAATCTGAATGGAATTACTGCCGGATTTGGTCAAGGATTTCCTGCGGGTATGATACCTCGCTGAGGGTGTGGCCAGCTTGTTCGAGAGGGGTCTCCATTTCTTTTTTTTCTTTTTCTCCATTTCGGCTTTCCGTCCCCGGAGTTTTTTTTTTTTGTTTTTTGTATTGATTTTGATACCGGGCGGTCGTTCAATTCAAGTTTTCTCTACCTGAGCCAGAAGGCCTAGAAAGGTAGCGGTCGCTCAATTCCATTCCCTTGCCGAGGCAGCCCCCTGGAGCGCTTGTCCTACCAACGGGGACCAGCCCGGTCGCTCATAGCAACCAGCGACCGACCGTGAGTGTTCAGTTCTGCCGTCTATTTGCGGTCTTGAAGCCGTCTTGGGCAATGTCTGCCTGGCTGTGTCAGTCCCAAGGCTTCGCCGCCGTTGTTTCTGGAGACCGTACTACCGGTAGCCGTAGGTCTACCGAGGGCCACGGCGGGGCCGAGTCGATCGATCGATTGAGGCTCATCACAGCCACCGGTGAATGTCGAAGAAGCGACCGGTACTCGGTGCGAAGGGGGCGAAGGAAGGGGAGAGACGCGCGGGAGGCAGAACGCGGAGAGAGGGTGGAAGCCGGACGGTTGGGGGTGATTGACGTTGACTCGGTCTTAGGGTTTTCCGCGATACTGGAGATATTGCTTTTGTCTACTGTCTACTTTTCTCACCGTTCGCAGGGCGGCACGGTGGGGTGCGCTATCCCCCGCCCCTCTCCCGGCTCCGCTCGCCGCTACCTTCGCGGACGGAGCTTTGCTCGGTCGGTGTGCCATGCGCACAGGACGTTATAGTCGTGCGGCAGTAGCTTGGACGTCGCTGTGACGTGAGCAATGCGAGTGATGCCGGAGTAGTTCTCCCCCGCGGAGGAGCTGGATACGGAGTCAGTGCTGCTCGGGGCTCCTCTCCGAACGGAGGGAGGGGGACGGGAAGAGGGAGCGGACGGGGAGAGGGCTTGCAAGGTTGAACGCGGACGGAGGCGGAGGCGGCTTGTTTGGTAGGCGCATCCAGCAGCATCCATCAGCAGCATCAACGTGTGACAAATAGACGAAGCCCATTGTGGCGCGCCTGGTGGTTGTTCCTTACCGTGGCGCACCAAGTAGGTGGGCGCGGGATTCGGTCCCCTTCCCCTTCACCTCGCCCACCTACCCCCGCCGGCTTGTGGGCGTTGCAGTCACGGCCACCGCCTGTCCTCCCTTTTCCTATACTTATTCTGCCGCGCTTACTCGCGCGGGGCGACCTGGAGGGTGGTGGTTTCCGCTGGCGGCGATCGCGAAGGCACAGCTGTTACGCCCTTCTGTGTGCCATTCCATCGAGGGTCCGAATCTGTTGGGGACGTGCGTCGAGTGCGCAGCGCGGAGCAAGACCCTCGCGCTCCATTGTGGTTGGGGGAAGCGGAAACTGTTGCGCTTGGCGGCCCCGCTGGACATCAGGTAGCAACCTGGAGTAAGGAAACGTGGGGAAAGTGTCGCGGGGGGGAAGATAAGCTACTGGTAGTCGTTTGAACCCTGGAGGGAGCGGCGGCGGCGGCGGCGCGAGACGCGAACATCGAAGAGGGAGAGAGACCTTTGGAAGAGTGATCGGCCGAGAGATAACGACCGACAAGGGTTGCGTGGGTGGGGAAGAGGAGGGTTAGGTGGGAGCGGGGAGGAGGAGGAGGCAAGGAGGAGAGAGAGACGGTGTAGCCGTAAGAGAGCTGAACAGGATGGATTCCCCACGCCGCTGCGGCGGCGGAAGGAATAATAGCAGGGTAGGCGTCAGTTGTACCCGAGGTCTGTCGTTGCTCCGCGTGTCGACTCTTCTCGTCTGTGTGGTCGCCGCTTTGTTCCCTGTCGCTCGCTGCTTTTATCTTCCCGGCGTGGCGCCTCGCGACTACAAGAAGGGAGAGAAAGTGACGGTCAAAGTCAACAAGTTGAGCTCGACGAAGACGCAGCTCCCTTACGAGTACTACTCCGTTCCGTTTTGCAAGCCGGATGCGATCAAGAACAGCGCCGAGAACTTGGGCGAGATTCTCGTCGGTGACCGCATCGAGAACTCCAAGTACCTCTTCAGCGTGGGCGACGAACAGCATTGCGTCGTCGTCTGCCGTATTGCCTCGCTGAACAAGAAGCAGGTGAAGGCGTTCCGCGGCAAGATCGAGGATGACTACCGTGTGAACATGATCTTGGACAACCTTCCCGTGGCGATGGTGAGGAAGAGTAAGAAGGACGGGGACGAGCGGAGCTACGAGCGCGGCTTCCCCGTGGGCACACACACCAAGGACGATGACCGGTACATTCTCGTCAATCACTTGGAATTCACGGTGTTGTTCCATCTGGACCAAGCGACGGGTAACAGGCGCCTCGTGGGATTCGAGGTCATGCCGCGCAGTGTCAAGCATGCGTACGAAACGTGGGACGACGATGCCACCACTTTCAAGACTTGTAATCCCGACAGCGGGGTGGGAGAGCTCAAGATGCCGGCGCAGGAAGTGAAAGAGAACGAGGAAGTCGTCTTCACGTACGACATCAAGTGGCAGCAAAGCAATATTAAGTGGGCCTCTAGGTGGGACACGTACCTGCACATGAGCGACGACCAGATTCATTGGTTTTCCATCGTGAACTCGTTGATGATCGTCCTATTCCTGTCCGGTATGGTGGCTATGATCATGATGCGCACGCTGCATCAGGACATCACCAAGTACAATCAGCTGGAGACTCAGGAGGAGGCACAGGAGGAGAGTGGGTGGAAACTCGTCCACGGCGATGCCTTCCGCCCTCCCTCCCATGCCAGTCTGCTGTCTGTGTACGTTGGCACGGGAGTGCAGTGCTTCGCCATGACGCTCGTAACTATGATCTTCGCCGTCTTGGGCTTTTTGTCGCCTGCCAATCGAGGCGGGCTTATGACTGCTATGCTGCTTCTGTGGGTCTTCATGGGGGTTTTCGCTGGGTACGCTTCTTCTCGGCTGTACAAGGCTTTCAAGGGTACGGACTGGAAGAAGAACACGCTGAAGACCGCGTTCCTGTTCCCTGGCCTCGTTTTCTGCATCTTCTTTTTATTGAACTGTCTGATTTGGGGCGAGAAGTCGTCCGGCGCCGTTCCTTTCTCCACTATGTTTGCCCTCCTTTTCATGTGGTTTGGCATTTCCGTGCCCTTGGTCTTCATCGGCAGTTACTTCGGATTCAAGAGGCCGGCTATCGAAGACCCGGTGAAGACGAACAAGATCCCCCGCCAAATTCCAGACCAGCTGTGGTACATGAAACCCGCCTTCTCCGTGCTTATTGGTGGTATTCTGCCGTTCGGAGCTGTCTTCATCGAGCTGTTCTTCATCTTGAACTCCATCTGGACCAACCAGTTCTATTACATCTTCGGCTTCCTCTTCTTGGTCTTCTTGATTCTTATCGTCACTTGCGCAGAGATCACCATCGTGCTCTGCTACTTCCAACTCTGCAGTGAGGACTACCATTGGTGGTGGAGGGCGTACATGACGTCCGGTGCTTCCGCACTTTACCTCTTCCTGTACTCTATCTTCTACTTCTTCACGAAGCTGGAGATCACCAAGTTCGTCTCAGGTGTTCTCTACTTCGGATACATGTTCATTGCCTCCTACGCTTTCTTCGTCCTGACCGGAACCATCGGCTTCTACGCGTGTCACTGGTTCGTGCGGAAGATTTACGGCTCTGTCAAAATCGATTAGATTGGCTTAAGTGAAGCAATCTCAGAGGATTGAATGTGGATGGGTGGGTAGGTGGACGTGACAAGTAGATGAGGAGGGGGGAGGGTTGGGGGGGATGAGACAGAGGTAGTGGAGGAGGAGGATGAGTTTATTAGTGAAAAGAAAATGACGCGATGACGAGTGTGTAGGGCTTTGAGAGGCGAAGATGGCGTTGACATGGTTTTGAACTCTCGTTAGTGCGTCTGTTTCTTTCTCTTGTTTAATGAGATCTCTGCTAGCCGTGTAGGGTGCGCGGGGGAGGGGGTATAGGTGTGGAGAGACATGGAACGGCCTCAGAAATGGCTAGACGAGCTTGTGAGGGAGGGAGGAATGTTTAATTAGTGCATCAGGAGGGTTGAACCGTGAAAGACCGCAGAAGGTCCTCCTCACAGTACCGGCTCGGAGTAGAGGGGGAGCAGTGTGGCGAAGGTATGCGCAACCTTGTCCTTCGTAAGGATAAGGAGGAAGAGGGAGCGTACGTGTCAGGCCATGTGGATGGAGTGACAGTTGAGGTTGAGATGGTGTAATTAACCTCTGTTTGTCAAACTATGGTGTATGTGGCGAGCAATGCTTGGTACGTGAACGGTTACGATGGTCATGTGGCTACTTCTGTTTGTCATAAAGCATGGTGTATATGACGAGGAATGATTTGTATTTCCACCATGGCGGTGGTCGTGTGGCTGCGGCTCTTGGGCAGTGTGACGAGGGATGTGGGCAGTGAGAGATGGGGGGGGTGTGCGGTGAGTTGTGCAGTGGACGTCGACGGGTTAACGGAAGTACTGAGGGGCTGGTGAGTGAGAGAAAGGAGATGGTTGGGGGGTAAATGAGTAAATTGAGTCAGAAATGAAGTTAACAATGGGGGAGATGTTAGGTTATCAATTGTCATGCACGACCTTTGTGCCGAACGGTCGTGTTGAGGTGGAGGATCAGATATGATAGAGAGATGTCTCGGGCGAGATAAACGAAAAAGGGAGCACGGGACGATGACGGCTATGGGAGGAGGATTGCAATCAGGGGGGGGGATGTGGGTGCGGTGTAAGGTGGCGACAGAGTCACTAAGTGGACGTGTCCGACTGTGGATGAATGTGGGGGTTGTGGAAGGTCAGCCGAGAGGTGAAATAAAGGAGAGCGCCACACAAGACTGCTCGACGGCGGGAGGTCTAGTTGGTTATTTTATCGAATGACGTGTTCGATTATCAGTGAGAGACTTGTTTTGTGCTTTTGAACGGCTTTCTTAGTGATCGTCATTGTGCAATCTGCGTAGGAGCTTTCGTTGGGCAAAATGAACGCATTTTGTTCTGTTTTTTCTTGTTCTTTTTGGGGCACCCCGACTCGAGAATGGGAGGGACGGGCTTCCAGAAGAGAGAGAGAGAGAGAGAGAGAGAGAGAGAGAGAGGCGTATTGTGTATGTACGTGTCGGTTGTGTGGTCGGTCTCGCGGTCGTGCGTGGTTAATTGACTTCCGCTCTTCACAACTGGGATGGTGGCTACTCGCTGGATTGCCAAATAAAGAGAAGGGCTATCTTTTGTTATCGTCGCTCACGTCATTTGGTATTTGCTCCCCCCTATTTCTAGGGTTTCCTGTTGTTCTCCCTCCTGTGGGTATCAGTCCCAGCCGGGTTTCTCGGATTTGTCCTTGCGCCTTGTTTTGCCTGAAAGGCTACTTGTTGTTCTGTTGTTGCAAAGTCGTAACTGCCTCTGTGTTTTCTTATTATCTCAACAAATTGGAACGCAACGTACGCGCAGCAGATGGTCTAGAACGACGAAGGTGATGTCCTCGTCTTCTCTCCCCTTCGATTTTTTTAATTTTTTTTTGTGTGTCTTTTCGTTATCGAGTTTCTCCCGTCTGTCTAGTGTCGTCACTCAGTCGATTTTCCGTTGGATATTTGGTCGTCCTCGTGTGTTTCACTACCACGTAGTATTCGAATAAAGAGTCCGTGAGGCTATAACTGCATATAGTGTTATGACTGGTACGAATGTTGTTCGTTTTTGTTCTTGCTTCTTTTTTTTTTTTTTTTTTTTTTTTTGGAAAGTCGTTTTTTGCTTTTCGTAATCGAGTCAAGGTCATTGACCTGTTCGGTAAGATCCCAATTTGATGAAATGACGTGACGTGGCATAGGGAACTGGTCTCTCTAATTCACCCCCTTGTTTGTCCTTCGTCGATAACGGCGCTTCACGTCTTTTGAGTACGAGTTGCAGACATGGACCTTCTGGTTGTTGGATGTCGAGCAAATGTTTTCGTTCTGTTTCACAAAGTCGTAACTTTTTGAGCGATGAATGGAACTGCAGGCCAGCTAATGGGGGGGCAGATATAGTTACGCGAGGCTTTCAGCGCTGCATCATCGCCGCCTTCGCAAACGTGCACCGCCTCGTCAGGGACGTTATCGCCAGAATGGCGATGATCAGAGGAATACATTGTCACGACTTCGCCTCTTTCTTTTATTTGCTTCTCTTTCTGTTTTGTAGGTTTCGCTTCGTGTGACGACACTTGTCAACGTTGTGGTGCGCGGTGTTTTGTAATTTCGTCTGCTGCTTTATGGAGTATAGGAGGGGGAAGGGGACTTGTTTCATCCTGTGCTTTTCCATTGAACTCCCCTTAACCCTAAAGTGGTCATTTGAGGGTGGTAATGAAGTCACCTCCTCACTTCTTCACCCGAATACGTATTGGGGGTACGTTTTTGGGGTACAACCGAATGAAGTCACTGGATTTGAGGTACAGCGACATTATAGTTGTAATGGGGGTATTGAAGTACAGGAATAATGACCCTAAGAAGGTAGGGAAATGTCCACAGACAACGCGACAGTTGACGGACTTGTCATGGGGATTGAAGTGGGATTCAAGTTTATCATGGGGATGAAGTGGGCATTGAAGTGGGTGGAACAACGTAGTGAATGCAAATCAAGAGACTGAAAGCGTGTTGAAGAGGAAGGTTGGCGGAGTATATATCTATACGTAACCGGGGAACAAATCGGCGAGCTAGGTATTACTTTGTTCCCCCGGGAGGGTCAATATCGCTGCATCTCGACTAAAATTTGCACTGAAGGCAGGTATACGATGATGATCATACGTTCTATTCGCGGGGAAGACAGTAATCGGCGGACTAGGTAGACGATGAAAACTTAATAAGCATGGTGCGATTCAGAGAGGAGGGAGTGGAGGATTAGACAAAGAGGCGATTAGGAGAGGTGGTACCGAGCATCTCTACTCAATTGCAAATTACAGCCGTCGACATCGGCGAATTCTTCCCCCTAGTTGACAAACTGTGAGGTTGTGTCGCTGGGTCTTGTGTTCTGCGACTCGTTCTTTTCGTCGTGTCGTTGGGTTGTGTTCTGCGACCTGTTCTTTTCGTCTTTCCGGGGTTATGTAATCGATTTGCGACCTATTTCCTATTGCTGTCGTATGGTTTCTCGTTGACGACACCTGCAGGTGAGGTCTCCTGTGGACCGTAGTGTCTCTGCCCATATTTATGCTCGTGCGTGAGAGAGCCTTCGTGTGTGTGTGTGAAGGGGCACACACCCACACACGCACACACACGTACAGATAGATAGATACACACGCACGCACACACACACAGAACGGCCGATGCGACGTTGGATTCGCAGGAAGAGAGAGAGAGAGAGAAAGAGGACGTTGGACTCGCGGGAAGCCGGCGTGTTCATGATGAAGTTAATGAGAAAGCGTACCGTGAATGGCCTGAGCCTGCAGCCACGAATCTAAATTCGACGCGTCTGTATATCATGGGTGATGCTCCTTGAGCACTTCAACGTTGAGTAAGCGTATACAAGTAAATGGTCCTTCGACTTTCAGTGGTATGAGCTTACGTTGTTCTTACGGCGGGTAGGTGACAGTGCGACCGTGACCTCGGTGTGACGACGGGTAAAACATGTATTCAGGAAGGCCCCTCATGTTTGTCCCCGCTTTTGTCTAGTCTACAGAGTACGTGATGTCCAGACCCCATGTGTGTTTACACTGTCAGTCGTTGCTACCTACAGTCTTTTCCCCCGAGTACAACGCACGGTCATTATAGCTGAATTTAGACTGATATATGTACCGAATTCAGCAATAATGACCGTACGTTGTATTCGGGGGAAGACTGTAGGCTTCTGAAATTCTACCGTGACAATCCCCACAATATATAGTAGAGGCAGGGGCCAAGGCCCACTAGCAGCGTTGAGTTACCTCAACGCCTGAATCTGGACGTGCTTGTGGTGAAGTGCAGTTGAGGAAATTCAACGCCATTTCTGCCCATTTTCACAAACACGACCAGATTCCGACGTCGAGGAAACTCTTTAAGCTGCTGGTGGAACTTGGCCCCCGCTCCTCTTTACTTACTGTACGTCGTGCTCCCAGGCGATGCCCGGCTTTTTTTTTTTTTTTTTTTTTTTGGGATCATTTTCGTATGAAGAAGTAAAAAACAAAAAAGTGAAAAAAACGAAACAGCGTTTACTGAGGCAGGTGGTTTGGCATTCCGTGTTAGCCTCTCCTCTGCCATTGGTGGGAATGATTTTTTGAGGGTATGGGTGGGAATCTTTTGAGCCCTTTTCTCTTTAGGGTTGTGTGCCTGTGAAAGAGTTGTACTCATTTTGGCACCTTGCAGTTTTCATCCGAATAGAATGCCCGGTCATTATATAGAGAGACGTGTTTGCTCGAAGTGGAAGTCCAGATACCGAGGTAATAACCGGGCGTTGTATTTGGGTCAAGATGGTCGTCCTAGCGGTTCTTTTGACCCGTTGTGTGTGTGTGTGTGTTTTGGTTCTTTTTTTTTTTTAATACATAATAAAAAGGAAATCCCTACCTATTAGTATACGCCCTTGCTGTTCGTTGTTTGTCGAAAAAGAAGAAAAAAAAAAGAAAGTATATACGCGCTTACAGAGAACCTGGATGGATTGTGAATTTCCATGGAGAATGCTGGTGGTTCTCTCGAGAAAGAGGTAGTGTCCCCTTTTTTTGCTTTTTTTGGGGGGGGTACTTTGTTTTTCAGATGTTGTGGGAGCGTATTGCGTTTGACGAGAACACGGTTTTTTAACCTTTTGTGATGTGACAATGTAATGAGATGTCCTGCCGCTCGTAAAAAAGAGAGCGTGAGGAGAAATTGAGCTGTGCGCGTAAAATGGTCGTGGAATGGTAGTTGTGGGGACAGGATATATGCTTGGGGCTCCTTTCGTCTCCCAGTGGCGAGGGATTCTGGCCCCGTCGTTCTTGGTTGAGAAATGAATCAATGGGTGTCGAACGACGGTTGAACGAGTATGTCCGTTTTCGACCGAATACACGTTTTTCATTAAATGTCCATCAGCGGACGGCAGAGAATCGTACACTTGACACCAAATTCGGTTGGAAGCCTTGGATTCATAATGACGATGTGACCTTGTTTTCCAGTGTGTCACCATGGGAAATGATGTACTGTGTGTGCTTGTTCGTACATGTGGAGATAGATAGATAGATAGTGAGAGAGAGAGAGAGAGTTGGTGCTAAGGACTGTGTGTGCTTCTTCGTGGACTGTGTGTGCTTCTTCGTACATGGAGAGAGAGAGAGAGAGAGAGAGAGAGAGAGAGAGAGAGAGAGAGAGAGAGAGAGAGAGAGTTGGTGCTAAGGACTCTGTGTGCTTGTTCGTACATGGAGAGAGAGAGAGAGAGAGAGAGAGAGAGAGAGAGAGTGAGTTGGTGCTAAGGACTGGATGGAATTTGTGGTGATGGTTGTTTCTGGGAACACACCGAGAGAGAGAGAGACGGTGCTAAGGACATGATGGCTTTCGTGGTGACGGTTATTTGTGGCAAAAGGCCGCTCGTCAAAGCGTAGTGAAACGTAAGGGTATGTTAGCTGTGTGCCTGCTGGGCGGGCAGAATATAATGTTGCACAGCATGCGTAGGGGTGGGGTACACGGAAGGATTGAAGCTCTCGTTTGCTCACATACCTATTTTCTGTCTGCCGTAGATATACAGTTGCCCTGAGATCAGCGGTAGGCATCACTAGGTCAGGTGGCCCCGACGCTAAGTAATAAGCATGCGAGTGATCCCATATTTTGCCAGATCTGTAGACCTCGATGACAAGCGATGCAATATTTTGCAGATCTGTAAACGGAAATGAGAAGATCGAAAATTTGGCCATCTCGGTTAAAAAATAACAGCCACTGGCATTGAAACGCCGGCAGGACCTGCGTAGGTAAATTTCCCCAACAGAAGGTGAAAAAGTACAGAAAATTGGTGGACCATGGCCGTGTTTTTTTTTTTTTTTTTAATATATTATTATTACTTTTTTTTTTTTTGTGTGTGTGTGTATTTACGAAACGCCCATCCTACCACCTCTCTCGATATATATCCTGGCGTAGCCCCCCTCCTTTTTCTTTTTTCTTTTTTTTTTTATATCTTACCTCATGCGAGGAACATCACTCTCTACCGAAGAGCAACCTGACCAGACTGTGTGAAGAGTTGTGTGCGTGTATGTATATGATGCCATGGCAGGCACTCTTTGCTAGGCAGGGATCTGCCTCCGGTGGAAAGACCAGGGGCCAAGTCCCACTTACCCGAATGATCGATTTCCGACCGCAGATTTGGAAGAACAACGACCAAGAAATCAAGGATCAGCGTAAGTGGGACTTGGCCCCGGACTTGGAAGATACCCGAACTATACATTAAACCCACCAGTACTTGGGCCAGCTATAGGCAGCGGAAAATAAAAGAGTAGAAACATATTTGTAGTCACGTATGAATTGGGGACCCCACAGGCCGTCGTAGGGAGCGGCCTACAAATATTTATAGTCGGATGAATTTGGGGACCCCACAGACCGTAGTGAGCGGCCTGGAAAAGTTTGGGAGGACGTTTCCACATAGCGTCATGATGGGAAATTCCTCCGTGGCACTCCAATTTCTGATATATTGTGCCAAAACAACATGGTAGCCCCCCAGGCTCCCTTTTCGATTCGGCAATCCCGTTCGGAAAGGAGGCACAGGGATTGGACGATGTGCTTGAAAAGAGGAGGCACACTTGCCTGAAAGGGAAAGTTTTCCTGATCTGGTAACCTCGACCCGTGGACGTGTGGAAATCTGCTGCCGCGGTGGAGCCCCTTTTCTCTTGTTTGCCCATTCCCCGCGGCTACGATATGGCAGCGCTGCCATATGCTTTCCAGGCGCAAAGCTACCGCGGGCCTGTGGTGTCAAGCCCTTTGTCAAATTAAATAAAGTGAAGCCTATAGAAACCAAATATTTATTTGCAATAACAAGATCCTGTCCTTCTGTACACACACAAAAAAAAAAAAGAAGGAAAAGCACTTTTTAAAAGTTTTTATTTTTTTCTTATTAATAAATTCAGAATTCTACTATTTGTAGCGGTGGGACAGACATCCAATAGTGGAAAGCAGGAAAGAACTATGCCGGAGCATCTATGCCTCGAACGACCAGAATACACACAAATAGTACATCATCGCAAGCAAACAAGTGTAGTATCTGTTCTGATCAGTTTAATATCTGATCCGTGGTCCATCGGGCCACATGATATTAAATTAATTTTTCAGGGCTACGGTTAAAAAAAAAAAAAAAAAAAAAAAAAAAAAA